GCAACCTCCGAATATGCCTAACGAAATGTTGGTAGGCTTCGCAAGATTTCGGTTATCAAAAAATTTGCGAGATAGAATGGAAATTTGATTTTCAGAAAAGAATAATTCCGGTTTTCGAGAATATGACCACTTCTATCGTTATCCCAATATGCCGAGAAAACGAAAGACTAACATCAGAAATTTTCAGCTATGTATGCAAAATATCAGAGAAACGAAATGCTACTATCAGGAATTTTCATACAAAACGAAATGCGATTTATCAGAAATTTTCAGGTATTTGTTACGTGAAAACGAAATACCAATATCAGAAATTTTCAGGTAAAACGAAATGCGAATATCGGAAATTTTCATGTGAGGATTGAGCCCTCAAGAAGGGGCCTCGCCATGATGTACACGTTCTGGGCTAAGGCACCAGCAAGCCTCGTGCCCGCCCTGAGTGAAGGCGGGCCAGCAAATCAACAAGAGCCCTCTGTGCAAACATTTCACGAAGTGGGGTCCATACAGTTGCAGCACGCCAGTTGGTTGGAGTGCACCGAGTATCGGAGCTCTGCAAATGCAGCAACCCAGGGCCCCAGAGTTGGTTAGGCCCTGGGCACATAAACGTGAGGCCAACAATGCATGTTGGATATAGAGGCCGAAAATGCCAATGGGAAACCGGCCCACTATCTGAATCTGGCCGCAGGCCTTGATGAAAGAGGCGCAACTGCATCTCCTGGGCCCCAACCTCATCGGGCCTGGGTATAGGTACTGGGGCCCAGGCACAGGCTCAAGGAAGGCCGCCGACACGCAACACTGGCATATAGGCAGGGAGGGCAAGTGGGCAGGGATCTTGGCCATTGCGGGCAATGCCGGCACGCTGCACATTTGCGAGGTGCTGAGCTGCACTAGGCTGAGGTGAGGCAGGCAAGTGCTAAGCGGTAGAGCGCTGCCTGGGCGCAGGGCGCTGGCGGCCATAGCCGAGCTGCCTGTGGGCGCAGAGGAGGAAGGGCGAAGGTGGTTCTTCGGAGGTGAAGGGCGCTGTGTGGGATAACAAGGGAGAGTGTGGGATAACAAGGGAGAGTGAGGGAGAAGAGTGAGACGTACCTGGTGGAGAGGGAGGTCGGCATTGGTGTTGACATCATCACTCGCTGGTCGTCAAGTTGTCTGGTTGCTTTCATGTTGTAGTTGTAGTGATAGGCTGTGTAGACTAGGTAGGGCGCCTGGCGCCATTCAAGAGAGAGAGCTACATTGGGTTATGCTGTTGGTGTTGCCTGATTGGGCTTGGACATTGACTCACAATTCTTATATATCGTTCTCAAATGGATGGTTACTCGGTTCCATTGTGCTATCTGCTCTTGCTTTGACTACTTGGACTTCAGTGTGATTTTGCAATCTGGATTTTTGTGCTTCGTCCACATTCATGTTCCTTGCATTTTGGTATCGGAGCTGGTTCGATTCGCCACTTACCTTGGTGCGCTGGCGTTATACAGACTTGGTGCGTTGATGATGCTTCTTCAGTTGGTTCTTGTGACGTCAGGCCAACATTAGGGGCACGACCTGGGTAGAGAGGTGTGCGCCGGAAGGCTGTACGACATTGGGTGTCGTGGTTACAACGGAATGTATGATTGGTGATGAGAGCATGCTGATGTGGCATTAAGCTGAGGTGGCACAACATTGCGTTGTGAGTGGTACCGAGGCTGCGACCGGTCATCAAATGCACACTCAGCTCAATTGGTGAGAAATCTGTGGTTGGGGGCAGCTATCTCCAGGTACGTTGTTCCCTTACCTTATCTACTCTCTCAATCTCTTCTTACCGCGAGGAAGTGAGTCCAACTTGAGAGTCCTCTCTTTTGGTGAGGTGTCGTGTGCACGCTACCTTGAGAGACGACAATCTTCCCGGAAGCATCTGGAAGGAAACAGGGCGGTGCCTCTGAAGGGCTCTGGTCGAAGCACTGGGTCACGGTCACCATGCCAACCCAATGGGAGTAGGTCACGCATGCGATGGCTGCTGTCCATTTTGGCACTTTGCTGCGCTGTAGAAGTCGTGCCAGGTGTGCCAGCCCATAAGAGACGCTGTCCAGACCGTCTATAAATATTTCTGGCTGGGAAACTCGGTGTTGATACTGGCTGTGATCGTTGTCCTGTCTGCGACGTTAAATAATTCCTGAGGAGATGGGGGCTCTCCTTAAATCCCTCCTGATCAGCCAGATCACACCGGGTAGTAAGGCTCGTTCAGTACGAGGGTAAATAAGAGTGGATGGGCTGGCTTGCTCGACAATGACTTGGGCACAGGGGTGGGCCGACAATACACACGAAGACATTGCTGCTCAAAGATGCTCTTCGGTATGTTGGATTGAGGGGAGGGTAGGTTCTAATTGGTGCTCAACTGGAAACACAACCATACCCACTACTCATACATCTGCAACATAGTCTTGTTTTATTATTGACTAGTTGGTTGACAGCTGCTAACACCTCACAGACAGATTAGAGTAGGACGGTTGTATACTACCATAACCAGTTTTATCTAATGCTGCTGTAAGTGAACTAATCACAGTAGAACTAAACTATGTTGACAGTCTTTTGTGAATGTTGTAGGCTGCCACTTGATCGGTAAAGTAGGGGACCTGCCGGACACAATTATTTTTAGAAAATTAGGTGCCGGTCAGACACATGCTGTGGTAGGACTCCAATAGGGGGTTGTAGTGCAGACAGTGTTTGCCTAACTGATGAGTGGGTCAGACACCGATGAGGGTAGAGTTGACAATAGAAGACTAACACGTTCGAGGGCACTTAGGGGCCCGCACGTGTTTCAGGCCTTACAACCGGAAGACGAAAGACAGCTTCGTGCCGAACGAAGAGCCCGTGCTCTTGCAGCAGTGTTGACAGCAGCAAACGAAGCAGCTAGAGAGCAGGCAGCAGCAGCCAGAGCAGCATCAATGGCTAATGGCGCAGGCTCTGCTGCGTCCTCGTCTGGGACCCAGTTGGGAATGCCTCTTGGGCCCACGGGTACTTCCGGTTCAATGAGTTCTGGGCAGTCTACAAGTCAAATGGCGGGCTCGCAGTTAAGCCCGTTGACCCCACGCGGCAGGGAGCTCTTAGAGCTCCAACAAGTCGAAAGGATCCGCGAGCGGTTAGAGAGGGAACTGAAGCAAGCAACCGATAGAGAAAGAGAAATTAAAAATAGAACAGCCAGGCTTGATACGTTAGAGGCAGACAAAGCTGCACTAGAGGGTTTGGATGAGTCAGCCTTGTCTGACCAAATGAAAGTACTGAAGAGCAATATGTTGTCATTGCATGCGCATGTGGACAGCAGACTGGACTTTATGCAGAACTCTCTAGACCAGATCTTGGACCTTTTGCAAAGGCCAGGATTTAGGCCAGCAGCACAGTCGCCGTTGCCGTTAACGGCGATGTCAGGCCCCTTTCCAGTACAAGCTGGCACACAGCCAAGTGGTACGTCTGCAGCAGTCTCACAGACTGTTGCTTCTTTTTCTTCTGGGTCAGCGATGGTAGCTACACCACCGCAACAACCTGTTCCTCAGCAGGGACAACAGCAAGGTCAATGGTACCCTAAGACCCCTATGAAACCGCCCCTTGCCTTCTTAGGCGAGAAGAAGGACGAGGAACTCAACACATGGTTGAGAACGGTTCCAGTATGGGTAAAGGCGAAGAGGACTTTGCAGGAGGAGGAGGTGATTACTGCTGCATCTTACCTTGAGGGTAAGGCAGCCAAATGGCTGGATGGTTTAGTTTCAAAGGCMGGGTACGRACGACGYATGGCRGACTGGGCTAAGACCATTRCGTTAGACYARTTCTTAGAAATGGTAGAAGCTCGTTGGCACAATCCACAGCAGGCACAAATTGCCACTGATGCGATAAACAGACTAGACCAAAGAAAGTTCAAGTCAGTCAGGGAGATTACGACTACCGTAAAAAGCCTCATCGTTGTTCCTGGCATAAACTACGATGACCAGTTCTTGTTGACCACGTTTGCGAGATGTCTCCCAGAGAATCTCAGAAATTTGCTGGCCAGCGAGGCTCGCCTAGAGTATCACTCATTTGCGACCTTGTCTAGAAAAGCCTTAGATTTAGAGGCCACTCTAGGAAGTGCTCAACCTACTTCAGTTGACGTGAAGAAGAAGAGGAGTCCACAGGAATGGAGAAAGAAGGGGAGCAAGTTGATGATGGTTGAGTCCGATGGGACTCAAACTGAGATCGAGGAGCTCATTGACCTGCTGGACTATTCAGAGTACGACGGCGAGGAGATCGCTGAGGGTAGCACTCTCGCCGCAGTAGTTAAGACTAAGGCTGGTGGTTGAGGGAAGGGCCATCAAAAGAATTAAGGGCAGGCCGCCTCCAATCAAACCAAAGTTGCTGATTGGGTCAAGGCAGGTCTTGATCAAGAAGTGTGGCGGGACCGAAGAGTGCGTGGTGCTTGCATTAACTGTGGTGAATACGGACACACCCAGTACAAGTGCAAGAACGCAAAGGTCACACAGAAGATACCTCCCAAGATGGGGGCACCTTCTTCCCAGGCTTCTAGCTCGGGTAACACGTGAGGCCGGTGGAAGTTTTAGCTGCTTCTACTCATGGTGAAGTGGGCCAGATACCCTCCCCACTTCATGAGGTGGCCATAGCTAATGATTCTTTAGTCACCCTGCAGACTCATCCAGACCAAGCCATGCTCTGTACGTTGGATGTGTCTGAAGCCTTAGAAGATTTGGAAAGTGAGTGGTCAAGTAAGGACCCTCGTGAATCTTGGGTGGCACTAAGGAAAGGTCCTAGAGGGGAACACTTCGTTGTGGAAGTCGATGTTGGAGGCCGCAAATGTGGTGCCTTCATAGACATCGGCTCCACGCGGAACTACATAAGTCGCGACTGTTTGGAAAGGCTGCGCCTACAGCACCGGGTACAGCACCTTAGTAGACCCGTAGCATCTACTTTGGCCAATAAGGAGCGCATGATAGTCACAAACTATATCAAAGATGTAGTCTGTACCTTCTCCTATGGAGGAGGGGAACTTAATCATAAGATTTCGTTCCTAGTTAGCGACGACTTACCATTTGACATGTTGTTAGGCATGTACTACCTTGAGGTTGCCAAGCCACAGTTTGACTGGGAGAAGAAGGTGCTAAAACATAAGTTGCCTGATGGAAGGACAATGCGACTGACTAAATTCAAAGCCAGTAGCATAATCGATACCTATGGCTGCTTGTGTGCATCAGCATTCTACAACTATTACAAATAGAACCAAAAGGAGGGTATGTACCTAGTGTATGTCTCTGAGAAAGGGGAGGCCGTTAAAACACCCCCAGAGATAGAACACGTCGTTGCTAAGTTCCCTGATCTGTTCACGGAGCCTACGGGAGTCGTAGAAAGGGAGGTTGTCCACGCCATAGAAATCATTCCAGGGAGTAAAACCCCAAAGGGAAGGATCTATAGGATGGCTCCGACCGAGTTGGATGAACTTCGGCGACAACTGAAAGAGATGACAGAGAAGGGATGGATCCGGCCGAGTACTTCCCCCTACGGATCGCCAGTACTATTTGTACCAAAGAAGGGGGGTACATTGAGGATGTGCATTGGTTATAGAGGCCTCAATGCCATCACAGTGAAGAACGCAAAGCCTCTACCTCGCATAGACGACCTATTGGATAGGGTGCAGGGATGTAAGTACTATAGTAAGATAGACTTCCGGCTACCATCAGATCGCAATAAGACCCGAGGATCAGCACAAGACTGTTTTTCAGACCAGATACGGTCTGTATGAGTTTGTAGTGATGCCCTTTGGCCTTTGCAATGCGCCGGGTACATTCCAGCACGCTATGAATAGGATCTTTCATGACCACTTAGATAAGTTTGTCGTTGTCTACTTAGACGATATTCTTATCTTTAGTAAGTCCGTCGAAGAGCATGCACAACACGTTGAGACTGTACTCTCACTCTTGCGACAACACAAGTATAAGGTCAACCTAGAGAAGTGTGAGTTCGGACGTACTAAGATCTTATACTTGGGACATGAAGTATCCGCGGAAGGGATTAGGCCAGAAAATACGAAGGTGGCTAGTATTAGGGACTGGCCACGACCTCAGACTGTTACTGAGGCCAGGTCTTTCTCAGGAATGTGCGGCTACTATAGAAACTTCGTGAAGAACTATTCTACAGTCGCCTTTCCTTTGACTGATCTAACTCGACTTGACATGCCACTGGAGTGATGAGTGCGAGGCTGCTTTCAAACGATTGAAGCATGCACTCATGAATCATGAGGTTCTCATGGTGCCCGATCCTCATAAGCCTTTCATTGTAACCACTGACGCAAGCCAATATGACATTGGCGCAGTGCTGGCTCAACAGGATGGGAAGAAGTTGAGACCGATTGAGTACATGAGCAAGAAAATGCCATCAAAGAAACTGGCAACCGGGTGTAAAAGGTTAGTAGTTCCATCGAGTGAGAGTTTGCGTAGTTTATTTCTAGGGGAATGTCACGACGCAACTGGACACTTCGGCTACAAAAAGACGAGTGCCAATCTAGTACAACGATTTTGGTGGCCTGGAAGGCTAGATGATGCAAAGAAGTATGTAGAGACCTGTCAGGTCTGTCAGCGGGATAAGCCGCGAACTCAAGCACCGCTTGGGTTGTTGAAGCCCTTACCTATCCCCGCTGGTCCGGGACAGAGTGTTTCCATGGACTTCATGGACACCCTGGTGACCAGTAAGAGTGGCAAGAGGCACATCTTTGTCATCATAGAGACTAATTGTCATGCCAGAGACCGCAAGAATTGACCATGTCATCAAGTTGTTTATGGACAACTGGGTGCGTGACTTTGGACTACCAAAGTCAATCGTTAGTGACAGAGATGTCCGATTCACAAGTGAGCTATGGAAGAAGACAGCTGAGCAGATGGGCAGTCAACTTCAGATGACTTCAGGGAATCATCCCGAAGCCAACGAGCAGGCCGAGCAGATGAACCGAGTTGTACAACACCTGCTAAGGCATTACATCAAGCCCAGCCAGGATGACAGGGATGAGAAGTTACCTCTCATCGCCAGCCTGTACAACAACGCTGTACACAACAGTACCGACGTTAGTCCTAATCAGCTACACTTGGGATGGAAGCCTAAATCAGCTCTGGACTTCCTCCTACCTGAAAACCGACCCTCTGCAACTCCAGGCACACTTGAGTATGGTGTGCAGTATGAGAAGTTGCTGCAGCAAGCTGCCGAGCACATCGAGAAAGCTCAGCAAGCAATGATTGCTTCTGAGAACAAGCATCGACGACAGTCCTCATTTCAGGTAGGGGAACGAGTCTAGGTTAAGGCTAGTGAGCTAGGACAGGAATTCGGCATCTCTCGTAAACTAATGCCTCAGTATTTTGGTCCCTGGGAATTCCTGGATATAATGGGGGATGAGATGGATGGTCCTACCTATGTTATCCGTATCCCTGGACACCTATGCATTAACCCTGTCTTTCATGCCTCAAAGCTTACACCTTTCGCTGAGACAAATCAATTCCCTTCGAGGAGATGGATGCTGCCCCCAACCATGGATGGTCAAGTGGATATCGACGACATTGTGGATCACAGAGATCTGCCTGTTCAAAAGCCATTGGGTAGAGGAAGACCTCCAAAACCCAAGCGGGAGTATTGCGTCAGATTCAGGCATCATGCAGATCCAAAGGAAGATCGATGGTTCACCAGAGAGGAACTGATTGACACAGTTCCTCAAGTGGTGGCAGAGTATGAGAGAATGTTAAAAGGGAAGGCACCTGCGAAGTAAGCATCTCAGCGGACTTTCGAAGCTAAGGGGGATGGAATGTGAGCATTGAGCCCTCAAGAAGGGGCCTCGCCATGATGTACATGTTCTGGGCTAAGGCCCCAGCAAACCTCGTGCCCGCCCTAAGTGAAGGCGGGCCAGCAAATCAGCAAGAGCCCTATGTGCAAACATTTCACGAAGTGGGGTCCATACAGTTGCAGCACGCCAGTTGGTTGGAGTGCACCGAGTATCGGAGCTCTGCAAATGCAGCAACCCAGGGCCCCAGACTTGGTTAGGCCCTGGGCACATAAACGTGAGGCCGACAATGCATGCTGGATATAGCTGTCTCTTATACACATCTAGATGTGTATAAGAGACAGTAAACGTGAGGCCAACAATGCATGTTGGATATAGAGGCCGAAAATGCCAATGGGAAACCGGCCCACTATCTGAATCTGGCCGCAGGCCTTGATGAAAGAGGCGCAACTGCATCTCCTGGGCCCCAACCTCATCGGGCCTGGGTATAGGTACTGGGGCCCAGGCACAGGCTCAAGGAAGGCCGCCGACACGCAACACTGGCATATAGGCAGGGAGGGCAAGTGGGCAGGGATCTTGGCCATTGCGGGCAATGCCGGCACGCTGCACATTTGCGAGGTGCTGAGCTGCACTAGGCTGAGGTGAGGCAGGCAAGTGCTAAGCGGTAGAGCGCTGCCTGGGCGCAGGGCGCTGGCGGCCATAGCCGAGCTGCCTGTGGGCGCAGAGGAGGAAGGGCGAAGGTGGTTCTTCGGAGGTGAAGGGCGCTGTGTGGGATAACAAGGGAGAGTGTGGGATAACAAGGGAGAGTGAGGGAGAAGAGTGAGACGTACCTGGTGGAGAGGGAGGTCGGCATTGGTGTTGACATCATCACTCGCTGGTCGTCAAGTTGTCTGGTTGCTTYCATRYTGTAGTTGTAGTGATAGGCTGTAGAGTAGGTAGGGCGCCTGGCGCCATTCAAAAGAGAGAGCTACATTGGGTTATGCTGTTGGTGTTGCCCGATTGGGCTTGGACATTGACTCACGATTCTTCTGTATCGTTCTCAAATGGATGGTTACTCGGTTCCATTGTGCTATCTGCTCTTGCTTTGACTACTTGGACTTCAGTGTGATTTTGCAATCTGGATTTCTGTGCTTCGTCCACATTCATGTTCCTTGCAGATAGTTGTTGCGAAAGAAAAAAAAAATTCAGAGATTTGACGAAGTCCTACTTTATTCACTAATGAGTAATCAATAGATCAAGCAAGCTGGCTACTTGATTGAGCGGGTCCGCTGAATGAGAGGTCCGCTCCGACACCAAACTGTTGCATACTGTAACGGTGCAGACCAGAACAAGAACCGACCTCTCAATACAAAGTACAAGATAGCGTAGCGGAAGACTTAGATGCCAATGATCCGAACAATCAATATTGAAATGCAGCCCTGAACATACATCATCATCATCATCCCATGGTGTGAAGGGGTCTGGCGCTCACACAGGAAGACTGCGCCAGCCCCAACCATACACAGACGAAGAAGAGGGGGGTTAGACGAAGAAGAGGGGAAGATGGGAATGTCTTCGGCACAGGCCCAAACAGTCCCTCGTCAAAATGTCTGAATCCCAATGTCGAGTCTGGATCCAATGTCGTCAAGTCTCAAGTCACAACTCTCTCTCTCTCTGCCGTAGTCTGCTGATACTGAGAAGTCAGGTGGTGAGAGGGTGAAGAAGAGATGGTGGACTTAGAAGAGGAAGAAGGAGACCTCTCTCTCTCTCTGTGTCCAGTACTAACCTGTGAAGTTGGCGCCTTGATGCAGGTACCTCGAAGATGGAGCTGGAGCTATGGCGCCACAGGTAAGTACTGCTGGCCTCCGCCAGCCATCTCTCTCCCACGCTACTACTACTAGCTACTAGCGCCCTGCGCTGAAGAGTTCTCCTGCAGCTATGAGCGCCCAGCGCTGAAGACTACTGCTAGCGCTAACTACTACTTCAGCGCTCCTCCTGAGTGCTGCGGCCGAATCCTGAAGACTACTCGTGCCTACTGTCCAACTACCTACCCGTGAAGTGCATGGGAACTTCCTATGTACTACTCGGGTGCCTCCTGACTGCAGGCAGTCCAGGAGGCTGCTCTTGCCAATGTCGAAGGGAGTCAGGGGCTGCCGCTGCAGCTCCTGCTTGAGGCTGTTGTGGGGAACAGGCCAGAAATAGCCTGTTCCCGAAACCCTGTTTTTGTGGCTGAGTATTAGGGTAGGTCGATTTTATGAGGGCCCGAAAGTGGCCCTGGCTGAAAAGCCTCAGGGCTGAAAAGCCCTGTTTTAGGCTGAAACGACATAGGGCCTGCAGGCCCTCGTTTTTCAGTCTTTCAGGGTGAAACGACAGGGGCCTGTAAGCCCTTATTTCTAGGCTTTTAGGCTGGAAATGCGGGACGGGCCCTGCAGGCCTGTGTGGCTACGCAGTATGCCACAGGTCCCCTGTTGCCACCCGTTTATCATTCCATTTTATTTCTCATTTTAGTATTTTGTATGAAAAAGGATCACTGTGAGAAGTTTTTCCGAAACATTGTATATGCTATGTCGTCGTGGGGTGCTTTGACCTTTTTGCAGTGTTTCACACCTTTGAACTTGTGCCTGGCTGCGAGTGTTTGGAGATTATTTTTTACCATAAAGGAGTGAGCCACTACGATTCCATTTTTCACGGAAACCGAAAGGAATCAGAGGATCGTTATGATTTTCAGTGTGCAGCCCCTGTCTGAAGTCAAAGTACATCGCACTCTTACGAGGAGTTCCTATGTGAAGGGCTGGTAAGGTCTTGTGCGTTGTATCAAATTAAACCACATGCTGAACCACTTGTGCAGGACCCCGTCAGTTCCTTTGAGTTTCAACCGTGCAACCGAACTCCCTCACAGCTCCTCCAGGGCTGAGAGCTGCAGATGAGTGAGTCAGTGAGTGGCCCACAGAATATCTCCCATGGGTGAGCCCCCCGCAAAGACTGAATGAGCTGTGGCTGCAGATGAATCTCTATATGGATGTTAACTGAGGAGGCCGTAAGTGGCCAATAATAGGCGGTCATACGTAGGCCATGAAAAGGTTTTCACCTCTTTGCAGTAGCAGACGCAGATCCCAGGGTTCGATCCCTAGACCTTGCCCTACCTGTGTACAGTACCTGTGTAGACCCCGAGAGTTGAACCTGTGACCTGTGTATTCGTAAACAGTTGGTAGGCTGTCATAGGTCCGTAGGTAGCAGGGGCTCGATCTGTAGACCTGTAGAAGAGAAGTCTTAGCGAGTTCCAGAAGTCTTAGCTGTAGTCCTTCTAGAATGTCAGCAAGTGGGGAAGTGGTGAGTCAAGTGGTGGACTAACTGCAGTGCAAATTGCAGTACGACCTCGGTAGGTTAGCAGTGAGTCCCCATTCAGTCAGCGGTAAGGTCCAGTCAGTCCCAGTCCGGTGCAGCAAGTACCACAAGGGACTGTGAGCAGCATGGGCCGATGGCAAAGGGCAGACCAACGAGTTTCAGAAGTAAACATCAAGAGGCAGCGCCCAGCCATTCATTCATGCCTGCGTGAGCCATGCGGCAGCGCTGCCACAGTGACTTGTGCAAGGAGGTCTGCAGTGAGCCCGGAGAAGAAGTGGGCGAGAGAGGAGCATAGCATAGAGATTGGGTAGCTGCGGCCATAGCCGCCATAGTTAGAGTTAGTGTGTAGCATGTGTGTGTGTGAGTGTTCAGAGTAACGCGTGTGGGATATCCAGGGTGATCCGGTGTATGTGAACAGTGAGTTGTTTGGGCGCTGAGTCGCCATAGCCAGTTGAAAGTGAACTCGTATCTGGTTGCCATATCTCTGAGTTTTGAGTGGCCGCATGTCGCCAGTTTGCTGCGCTACTGTTTACATGCATGAAAAGTGTGAATGAAAGCGAGTCTGATTGCATTGGTATCAGAGCTGGTACCCGCTATTCCACGCGTCAAGTTGTGTGTCGCAGGAGTGATGTGCCATAGCAGAGGTGGCCGCCGAGAGTCATAGTCCGCCATAGCGGACTTGAAGGTTGGAGAAGCCCGCGCGCACCTGTAGAGAAGACGACGACGAAGAAGAAGACCGAAAAAGAGAGAGAGAGAGAGAGAGAGAGAGAGAGAGAGAGAGAGAGAGAGAGAGAGAGAGAGAAAGGTTGAGCGATACAAGATTGGGTTGCTACGTACCTGCTGCGCACGAGATACCGTTAAGGAGAGAGAGAGAGAGAGAGAGAGAGAGAGAGAGAGAGAGAGAGAGAGAGAGAGAGAGAGAGATGAGGGATACAAGTTTGGCTGTTACGTACCTGTGAGGTTGCTGCGCAGTTCCACGAAGAAGAAGATAGCGGCCATAGCCGCGGAGTTTGACCACGGAGTAACGAAGGAGGGAGAGAGACTAGATAGAGGGAGAGACAGAGGAAAGAGAGGGAAGCCATAGCCGAGGAGGAGGAAGGAGAGACGATCAAAAAAAAGAAAAAAAAAAAGAAGAAGAAGAGACACAGCCGGGGKGAAAGGAGGCTTGGAAGGTGAAGGGAAGAAGAAGGTTGGTGAGGGAAAGAGAAGCCGGCAGCCATAGCTGACCGAAGGGTTGACCGGGGGAGTTGAACGGAGGCGTTGACCGGCTTTGACCGGAGTTGACCGGGAGTTGACCGCAGTGTTGACCGGCATTTGACCAAGTCGTTGACCAAGACTTTGACCAAGCTGGAGCCGGTAAAATCTCGCCAAGCCTTCAGCCTATCCCTCGCCCTATGGATGTGCACACACCCTGTGGTACTTGCTGAGTCCAGTCTATCTGTCTCTTCTTTCTGTCTAGGTGATAGTACTCTGTGGATGAAGGATAGGGCCTTGTTGACCAAACCCACACAGGCTGAGTATGGTTAAAGACTGTGTCTGACGACTCAACTGTCCCGGAGGACACGAACCGTCCCAAGGACCGGTACTGACCGGCGGGCTGCTCGGTGTGGCACGGTAGGCCCAAATTCCGAGCTGTGGGCTGCACAGCAGGCCGTCTAAGTGTTGAGAGACCTGCTGATCGCGTCGTCCTGTCTGCGACGTTAAATCATTCCTGAGGAGTTACGGGGGATCTCCTTAAATGCCTCCTGATCGGCAACAAGTCTAGTAGTGACAGCCATAGTATAGGTCTAGGCTAGAGACCCTAGTTGGCAGGATCCTTGTCAGGATTCTATGAGTTCTTAGATTGAGTCAGTAGGTCTGTCAGTCAGGGGTTAAAGTCTACGTGGTGAGGTTTGGAACCGTTAATCCGGTTGTGCACTGATCACCATTGTGGACTTGCATAGTGGGAAAAGCACTAGCCCCTACACCCAGGAGCAACAAGAAAAGATGGCCGCCTTAGTGAGAGAAAATAAGGAAAGGAAGTTGAAAGCGATCGCAGAGGAGCAGGCGGCAAGAGGAAAAAATTGGAGGACGAGATGATGAGGATTCAGCAGGAGGAGGAAGAAAAGAGAAAGGCTGCCGAAGAGGAAGCAGCAGCAGAAGAAAATAAAGAGAGAAGATGTATAGAAGAGAGAGGAGAAAGTAGTGGCACGACAAATGAGGATGCCGCAATGGAGAAAAAGATAAGTGAGTGGATCGCTAATTTATCGTTGGGGGAAGACGAGGAGGCAGAGTTTTATGTGCCTCGGGATGAGAGAGATGCATTAGCCAGTGAGCTAGCGACTATGGAGGACCCTCTGGAATGGCGAGAAAGAGAAGAAGAGAAGAAGTTGGAGTGGAAACTGAGGATGAAGAGGGAGAAGAAGAGGAGGAGGGACGAAGTTCATAGGCTGACCGGGGAAGTGGCAAAAATGAGAGATTGTAGACAGGAAGTGCAGGCGCAGACAGACATGTCTGCCAAGATGGATAAGGTGCTGGGTTATGTGGAAGTGTTGAGTGTGGCCTGGTTGGAGGAGCGCCAAGCCAATAGGGGTCAGGATGTGGCCCTGAGTGCCATGCGGTCAGGATTTAGAGACTTCGCGCGCGAGATGGTCACCCACGTTGGAGGCGAAATTAGACGACTGAGAGACAGCATGGGGAAGTCCTGCGAGGGCGCCATCGAGGGCGGCAAAGCAATAGCCGCTGTAGAGGGTGAAGCCAGGCCCCGTAAAGAGCCTGTCAAGCTTAAATTCCCAGATGCATACAAGGGAAAGGAGGAGGAGAATTTTGATAATTGGGAGGCAAGCGTCAATAGCTACGTGTACCTACAACACATCTTGACTGAGGAGCAAGTCCTCGTCGCCTTCTAGGCCCTTGAAGATGAAGTGGCCTGTTTTGCCAGATCTCTTGTGCGCGCAGCGAGTTGCGAAAACAACATGGTTGCATATTCTAAGATCACCACCCTTCCTCAATTCTTCAAATCCTGAGGGAGAGATTTGCTGACCCAACGAGAGGCGTTAGAGCCTCTGACAAGTTACAGACGATCCACTCGCGACAGTTGAGGAATGGAAGAGCACTCAAGGGCGTTATGGATGACTTGGTAGCCGTCCCGGACCATGGGGTCACTGAGTCCCAGTTGGTCCAATTGTTTTATCGTGCCATGCCAGAGCCCCTGCGTGGGCATTTCTTCGAGAGGTCTCAACAGGCAGACATCACCTATGATGTGCTGAGTAGAGAGGTGGTCCTTTATGAGTCAAAGTCCATAGTAGTATCCACTTTTTGGCATAAGGACTTGGATAAGGGGAAAAAGTGGAAAGGTCGTACCATCTCTGGCCAAGTCAGGGCCAAGGATCACATGATCCTTACTTTAGAAGAAGGTGGCACTGACGAAGTCCCCTACAGTGAGATTGAGTGGGGGTTAGAGGAGGAGGAACGTAGCGTGGGACAGGGGAGGTCCTATGCGGCTGTCGCGGTTGGAGGGAGGCCGCAGGGTAGAGGAGGAGGCCAGGGCCAAAGGGGCCAGGCCATGGGAGGCCGAGGACCGGGCGCACAGAGGGTTGGCGGACAAGGGAACCGCCAAGTGGGAGGTAGGGGTCAAGGTCCCCCGACAAATCGCCAGGGTTCTTGTCGGTCCCCACAGCGACGAGGTGGAAGGCCACCTCAAGGAGGGTGGCACCCAGGCTTGCCATAGGGCAGGCCCTGGGAAGACTTGGGCTTGGACCAGCGCGTATGGCAGGAACGCGTGAACTTGGGTCAGTGCGTGTTTTGTGGTGACCCGGCCCACGTAATAAGATTTTGTCCTCAGTACAGACAGGACCGATGGGCTGCTCAACAGTCAAAAGGCAGCCACCAGTACGGGTTGCAACTGCTCGTACTTTAAGGCCATGTGGGGAAGCGAGCGCGCGCACACAGGAAACTCCCAAACCACATGAGCCTATGGCAGAGGTTGCAGGCCCGTGCCTAGCTAGCTGTCCAGAGACTGCTTGTGTTAGCGTCTCTCTAGGCACGTCCCTCACAGGTGTGGTAGAAGAGCTGAAGGAGAGAATGCCAGCCTGGGCCAAAATGAAGAGAGTAAGGGACAATTGATCTTGGTAGATGTGGAAGTGTTTAGAAGCAGAGTAGGGGCCCTTATAGACTCAGGGGCCACCCGCAGTTACATTAGCTGTAGGGCGCTGAAGAAGCTGAGGCTAGGATTAAAAGTCCAAAAGTCGGCAGACCCCATAGTTAGTGTCCTGGAAGACACCCGCACAATGCGAGTTGAGGACTACGTAGAGGGAGTCCAGGCGTACTTCCGCCGAGAGAAAGATGGGAAGGTGGAGAAAGTTCTCCATTCCCTGACTCTCCTCGTTCATGACGACCTTCCTTTCGCCATAGTGCTAGGAATGGATTGGGGAGAGGCAGCGGGGGCCACACTCCACTTACGAGAGCATGAGTGTAGGCTCCCTACTTCGTCAGGCAAGGTTCAGACTGCCCGCCTGTTTCATGTGTCAGGTGTAGATAACACCTTGGCACATCGCTGTTTCAGTGCTCCCGCATTCGCGCGACTAGTGAAAAAGGAGCAGTTAGAGTATCAGGTCTTCGTAGTGTATGTGAGGCCTGTCACTGAGGCTAAGGAAGGAGATAGTTCCACAAACCCACACTGAGGCTAAGGAAGGAGATAGTTCCACAAACCCAACCATTGCCAAGCTGCTGGAGGAATTCAAAGATTTGCCGACAGGAGTAGTGTCGCGACCCATCCAGCACAGAATAGAGATGAGCCTGGCAGTAGGACTCCTAAGGGAGCAGTCTACAGGATGTCCCCTAGAGAGTTAGAGGAGCTACGCAAGCAGTTAGACGAGCTCCTCGAGAAAGGTTGGATCAGGCCCAGTTCGTCTCCTTTTGGAGCACCAGTCCTGTTTGTCCCCAAGAAGGAAGGAGAGCTTCGTATGTGTATGGACTATAGGGGTTTGAATGCGATTACTGTGAAGAATGTTGAACCGCTTCCCAGGATAGACGATCTTTTAGATTGGGTGCAGGGTTGTAAGTATTTCTCTAAGATAGATTTGAAGTCCGGATATCATCAGATAGAGGTCCATCCTGATGACCAGTACAAGACTGCGTTCCGGGCTAGATATGGGCATTATGAGTTCATAGTGATGCCCTTTGGACTAACCAACGCGCCAGGCACCTTTCAGCGTTGTATGAATGATCTGTTTAGACCTTGGTTAGATAAGTTTGTAGTAGTTTATCTAGATGATATATTAGTCTTCAACAAGACCCTCCAGGAGCATCAAGGTCATTTAAGGCAGGTCTTGGAGAAGCTACGAGAATCTAACTTCAAGATCAACGCAAAGAAGTGCGAGTGGGCCAAGACACAAGTCTTGTACTTAGGGCACGTATTAGACAGAGATGGCACTAAGCCAGAGGACAGCAAGATAGCGACAATTAGAGATTGGCCGATGCCCCTCACGTTGATTGAGTTGCGGTCGTTCCTAGGCTTAGCTAACTACTATAGGAAGTTCGTAAGGAACTTCTCTACTATCGCCGCTCCCTTGCACAGGTTGCTAAAGAAAGAGGCAATCTGGCAATGGGACAAAGACTGTACGTCTGCGCTAAAGAAGTTAAAGCGCGCATTGATAGAGTACCCTGTCCTCAAAGTAGCTGATCCGTCTTTGCCATTTGTCGTCACCACGGACGCGAGTCAATATGGTATAGGCGCCGTGTTGCAGAAAGACGACGGCAATGGCTATAGACCCGTAGAGTTCATGTCAGCGAGGATGCCTTCAGAGAAGGTAGCCACCTCGACGTACGAGAGAGAACTCTACGCTCTCAGACAGGCTTTAGAGCACTGGAACCATTATCTGCTTGGGAGGCACTTCAAAGTATATTCTGACCATGAAACACTTAGATGGTTAAAGACCCAGGCCAAAATGACACCTAAGTTGACTAGGTGGGCCACTGAGATAGACTAGTATGACTTTGAGCTCAAACCGGTCAAAGGCAAGTACAATGTAGTTGCGGATGCTCTAAGTAGGAAATCAGATTGGCTAATAGGACACTATCTAGATATAGGGAAGGACCTGCAAGAGAAAGTCAGACAGGCGTACGCGCAGGACCCTATCTATAGTGACCTCCTCAAGAGAGTTAAGGAGGCCCCAGAGACCGAACCAGACTACCGCACTACTGAGGGACTATTGTTTGAGAAGACTAATGTGGTAGACCGCCTGTGCATTCCCAACAGCAAGGAGATCCGTAGTCTGAATGCCATGACACAGAGGGACACTTCGGTTGGCAAAAGACTTTAGCCAATCTGATGCGTGCCTATACTTGGCCAGGAATGAAAGCTGACTGCATAGAGTATGTTCGCAGTTGCAAAGTTTGCCAGAGAAACAAGACCACAACGTGTGCCCCTCTAGGCCTTCTCAGACCCTTGCCTATTCCAGACCAGCCGGGAGACTCAATCTCCATTGATTTTATGGATGTCGGTGTCAAGAGTAGACACGGTCAGAGCCAAGTCATGGTCATAGTTGACCGATTTAGTAAGTATGCTGTTTTTGTTCCCTTGCCTGCAGAGGCACGTACGAATTTAGTTATACGAAAGTTCTTTGATTTTTGGGTTAGTGAGAATGGAGTCCCGTTGTCAATAGTTAGCGATAGAGATAGTCGCTTCACCAGCCAGAACTGGCAAGAACTCATGGGAGTTTACGGATCTAAGTTGTTGATGTCGTCTGGCCGCCACCCAGAGACCAATGGTCAGACCGAGCAAATGAACAAGATCCTACAACAAGTTTTGCGCATGTACATTAGACCCGACCAGATCAACTGGGACGAGATGTTACCTAAGGTAGCTATTGCATACAATAACAGCGTACATCTGTCCACCTGTCGCACTCCCAATGAGCTGCACAAGTCCTTTCGACCGCGCAGACCATTTGAAGGACTGAACCGGGATCAGGTTCAAAGGCTACAGCCCGGTACCAGGGAGTTTGCGATACAACACGAGAAAGAATTAGCTACCGTTGTTGAAAACCTCAGGAAGGCCCAGCACAGAATGATAGAACAGGCTAATAAGCACCGTCGCCCCTCGCAGTTCCAGGTAGGCGACTTAGTCTGGGTCAAGTCTAAAGAGTTTGCACCTGAGGAGCGCATCTCGCAGAAGTTACTACCTGCATATAGAGGACCGTGGCCGGTTCTAGAAGTCAAGGGCGGAGAGGATGGGCCGTCCTACAGAATAGAGATTCCAGCACACCTCCACACTTACCCTGTATTCCATGTCTCAAAGCTGTTGCCGTGGACCGTGGC